AGAATTTACTTACTCATCATTCCCATTAGAAATTTTCTTCCCAGACTTGGTACTGCAACCTCCATAGCTGGTGTTTCCCGTAGTATCTTAGGCATACTCTCTCTTTGATATATTTTCATACTCTATTTTAATTCTTATTTTGTTGTCTGTGTCTTCCACTAGGCTGAGTATCTTTCTATGCCTACTGCCTAGTACTGTACTGATGCTGAGAAAATGCTGATAATACATCATCATTTTGAGTGAATAATCGAATGTTAAGTGATTGTGTCAAACAAAGCTCTCATAGTTACTGCGTAGCGCGGCCAGGTCTAGATTTCTGCAGCACAGATATCTTTGCTTACCCCACCCTCCAATTAGATTGTAAGTTTTTTAGAAGGAGAATGTGTATCTTATGTTACATCCCCTGAAGCACCCAGTACAATGGGCTCTTTGTTCAAAATATATAATTGAATGATTCCAAATATTAGCCATGGTAAAGTCTAAAAGGGAGAAAGAAAACAACCATATCCAGTAGCATCATGTAAGTTTGACTCCTGCAGTATGTGACTGGAGATATAGTAATTATCTTCTGAGAATTAAAAAATTCCAGTCTTGGTAAGTAGGGAATGTGATACCAAGAATCTAAGCTTCTACTGACTTAATTGTCCTTACTTGGCACTATTTTTGTAGTCCCAGAAATGGAGCTCACATAATTCTGTTTTCCAACTATTAAGACATTTAGGTTCTGATCATATCTCCACTTCCCCTCCCTCCCACACACACTGGAAAAAAAAAAGTAAGTCTCATAATTTTGCCTCTTGCTGGTCCTCCTATATGGAAACAGGAGCTCATTGTTTGCTTAACTAGAAACAGGAAACCTCTGGGATAATGTGTCTTCATCTTGTCTGGTTGGTATGGTTTGTGAACCAAAGAAGAGATAAAACATTTTTTTTGTTATAAAAGCAATACATACACAATAAAGAAGATTTGGAAAGTACAGATTTTAAACAGAAAAGAAAAATAGTCACCCATAATCTAATGACCTCAGTAATACATTCTACATATTTTTTCCTTTTTTCTGGACATTATGTAGTTGAAATTATGTCTATGATTTGATCTGTCTTTACTATTATAACAATCATTTTCCTTTCTTACTGGAAACCTCATAGACATTTTTGTATAGAATTGTATTTTATAGGTGTATCATCTATAATATTCTCTGTTAGATATTTGTGAGACAGTTTTTCTTTTATTTCGAACAGCATTGTAGTGAACATCTTTGGTTATTTTTCTTAAATAGGTAAGAAAATAGGTATTTAAGAAAAGAATGTGGTATCATAAAATCATTGCCAGAAAAGGTTTTCATCAATTTGTAGTTCTAACAGCAGTATATGAGTTTGTGCCTGTTTTACCATGACCACAATAACCCTGGTTTCTTTTTAAAAAAATATTTGCTTCATGAGTTTTTCTAAATGGTTTGTCATCCTACTATCTAAAAACAGCTATTTTGTGTCTTCTCCATTCTCCTGTACCAACCTTTTCTTATCTGGACTCTTTTTTTCACAGGGGAAAATGGAGATCATCAAAGAGAAATTCCCCTCATCCTTCTACAAATCCAAAACTTCACTTTCTTTATGCTCACGGAAGAACTTTCCCTACATTTACCAAGAGCAAATTCCCTATACCAGTACTATGAATCCTGTTCCTTCCCATGTTGTTCTTAAGGACTTTTCTACTATAATTAGCCCCATTTTCCCCTGGCATCTTTATGTTTTCCCTTTGCTAGATACTGCTTATCACTTCTCAGCCTGTTGCATGATCTCCCATTAAAATAAAACCAAAAGCAAAAGGCTTACCCTTAAGCTTTGTCCTCTCCTAGCACCACCCTTTTTTCCTCTATTCACTCAGATCTTTCAAGAGAGTATTTATTTATACACATGTCTACATCTCTCTTCTCATTAAAAACAGGTGCAGAGTGAATTTTTAATTTACTTACTCATTTAGGAAATATTTTAGATTGCCTATTTCATGCCAGGCAGTATGCTAGTGAGAAGCAGAAAAATAAAAACCAAAAGAAAACAAGCAAACCACACACTCAAAAAAAGCCTATGCATTCTCTGCCCTCATAGAACTTTCAAAGGGAGAAGCAGTTAATAGTTAAAGGTCACGAAATCTTATAAAGTATGATTATGGTAAGTGCTTTGAAGGAAAGTTACATGTGTTGCACTGAAGAGGTTATAATGGGAAGTTGGGAAGACTTTCATGATCTAGTAGTTGAACTGAGATCTGAAGTTGTCATGGGAGTTAATAGGCAAAGGAAATTTGCTTATACTCTAGAACTAAATTGTTGCTAAATTCAGTGATGTTAATACTGTTAGATCTGTGGGTACTAGGTGTCATCCTACATCCAACAAGCAGTGTTGGACAGGGTCAATTTCTCCTCCTTTGAATCTTGCTCCTTATGTGATTCCACACTTGCCTGGTGTCCCCACTTCCTCTAGCTTTGTTTCTGTAGGCTGTTGACCCAGCTTCACAGTCAGAATTCCTTAGGGCTCAATCATGAGCCTTTTTCTCATGACTTCCTTAGATAGCCTCTTTCACTGTGATGGCTGTAAATGTCATCTGTATGTCAAGGCTACCTAAATTTATATCTCTAGCCATGACCTTTGCAAAATCAAACTTAACGTATATAAAATGAAATCCTTGATCCTCGCCCCTTTGAAACCAGCAACTCCTTCATTGTTTACTTTTTGAGGAAATGGCAGTTCTATATACAGATTTTTTTTTTTTTTTTGAAGATTTTGTATATTTTTTTAAGTAATCTCTACACCCGATGTGGGGCTTGAACTTCCAACCCGGAGATGAAGAGTCTCATGCTCCATCAACTGAGCCAGCCAGGCACCCCCAAATTTTTTCTAGTCATTCTTTTTTATTAGAAAGAGTGCACACACACACAAGCAGGGGCAGGGGGAGAGGGAGAAGCAGATTCCCCACTAAACGCGGAGCCCCATGTGAGACTCTATCCCAGGACCCTCAGGTCATGACCTGAGCTGAAGTCAGATGCTTAACCTGCTGAGCCACCCAGGTTCCCCTCTAGTCATTCTTGATCCCTCCTTATGCCTTGCTATTGTCCATTCATAACACTGCTTATTATAAATTGCTCATTGTGTGCTGGGTTCTGTACTAAGTGCTCTTGCATATATTTCCCCCTCTATCTGGAAGCCTCTTCATTTGCTTAAGGAGCAGTATATTGTTTTTTCAAGATTAAAACCAAATATTATCTTCCTTTAGGTTACATTTCCTGGTGATTAAATTTTTTTAAAATATGGTAATGCAGTATTTTATTTATTCTCTTAATAACTAATACTCAGGAACTTTTATAATATTAATATAACTTAATCTAAAAGAATCAACTTACTTGTTTACATTTCAATATTGGGTACGAGAGAGAGTCAAAATAATTATGGCCCAAATTATTATATAAAAAATTACAGTAAATGCTTGGTGTTAGTCTACATATAATTTAGTTTTTGGCATAAAGTTATTTAGTTTCCAGGGAGAACATTTGGTTTACTTCACTAATAGGAATATCTCTTAATGCTGGAATGGCCTCTTCTTGGTATTTCTTTTGCTGTTGATTTTTAGCATAGTTATCTGTGATTGTATGAATGGAGTTGAGTGGAGAGGTACTCATCATGTTTATTCCAAGTAAGAGTACGTAACCAGTTACTCTAGTGATGAGGAAGTAGATGGGCAATGCAACTGCCCAGTATTTTTGAGGCCAGTAGGTTAATCCTAAGGAGTTTAGCCAAGATTCAGGAATAAATGCCCACACAAGATACAGGATGAAGCCAAATTGGGAGCTTGAGAAAAGAACAAAGCCATAAATCGCTCTTTCTGGCAATGGCGACGGTGAATTTTCCACCATTTTCCCTGTGGCTTTAGACAATCTTGGGTCCTCAAAGCGCCCACTCAGGCCCTTCCCGACAGCTTGGCCACTTCAGCGCCAAGTCCCCTGTGCAGGCCCCTTCTGGAAAGCCTCCGCGGGGGCAAGAAAGGGCTCCTGGTGATTAAAATTTTATTTGGGGTTCAGGCTGTTCTTTTAATTTGTTCATTGCACCATTTAGCGAATACAGCCTGTATTTCTAGTTCTGAAATTTGTTTTACAACTTTTTTGGTGGCTCATGATAGTCGATTAGTTTTTCAGAAATATGCCAGGGATGAGTTAATACCTTTCTCTGGTTTTTTTTTCATCATTCGAATAAGATGTTAACTTCTCATTTAATTTTTAGGCAGTCTTTTCTCACTATATGATAAAGCAGGATAGAGTGCACAAAGGGTCCATTGCTAGTCTTGGTGGATTTCACCTTTCTTCCATGTTAAACATACCTGTGTAGTGATTTTATATACTTTTATATTAATACTGTCACTTCTGTGAATTTTACTTTAGCATTCAGCTGGTACATCCCTGTCCATCATTTGATTTTTCAACTCTCTTTTGTTCTGTTTGTAACTCTTGCAAATAATATTTAATTTTTGTCTTTTACTTTTGTCCAGAGATCTTTAGTAAATAGACGGGCTGGTTTTTATAAATTATCAGTCCTAAAAATCTGAGTTTTCATTTATTTATGTCCAGTTATAAAATAAGTATTTAGTGGCACAAATAATTCTTAACCTGAAAATATAATTATCATAAAGGAGGAAATATATTTCTTGTTATCTCAACACCCAAAAATAACATCTTAACATTTTGCTGTATGTCCTTTTTTATATGTGAAGGAGGGGAAGGGTGAAAAAGAAGAGAGGAATAGGGAACAGATTTCTGTGTCAGATGTCTTTAATGTTACTGTTAATTTGTTTTGTAAATTAATGGCTTGTACTCTAGAGCAAGAGAAAAATAAGTATTCTTTGTTTTAGCACAAGGCACAATGCCTGCCTGATAACTAAACATTCAGTAAATGTTTAAGGAATGAATAAAGAAGGAAAGAAATGGGCTTCTTAATTTTTCTTTTTTTCTGAAGATTTCCATGGAGAATGATTATCTGGGTCCCCGAAGAATTGAAAGTCTACAAAAAGAAGATGCTGATTGGCAGCGAAAAGCTCACATGGCTGTGCTGTCTATTCAGGATCTTACTGTCAAATACTTTGAAATAACAGCGAAAGCACAAAAAGGTAAGTTTCCTAGTAAAGTTATCCTTGTTAGATGTTTTTGAAAATGAGTGGTTTAAATATTTCATGTTTGCAGGAGTTCTGGGGAATAATGTATAAAGACTACTCATAGTCTTAGTAGTTAAAAAAGATCACTATTTGCAAATTATAGTAGATCCTTTCAGTCTTTTCTGGGCATGTGTTTATACATACTCCACCTTTAAAAAATAGTAATTGGGTGTTAGTGTAGCATAATTCAGTTCTGAAACTAACCTGTTACAGACCCCACAGCTTAAAGGCACGGTTCGCATTGAGACTGCCCACATTTAAGACACTACTTGGAAATTTAGAGGGTCCCCAGGCCTTCTGCACTTCTCACCAACTGATGATAAATTTGGGGGTTCACACAGCCTTTTTAGGTTTGATCATTTGCTACAATGATTCACAGAACTCAGGAAAGTACATACTTAGGATTATGGTTTATAAATGCTAAAAATCAAGACAAGCCAAATGAAGAGATTCATGGGCAAGGTCTCTGAAGGTCCATTCCTTCCGACTTCCTTCCATAGGTGACCATGGAAATCCTTCAGTTGCAGTTTAAAATCCCTGCTATTCATTATTTTCGTTATCTACCTGGCATTAACACAGTTTAGCATTCAGGTTATTCCTTTAGGAAACCCTCATTTCCCTAAAAGTTGTACTTGAAGAAGTTTATTCCTTCAGAATGCCAGTGTGCTAAAGAAGAATGCTCCCTTTGATTCTTTAGCATCATTTGGCATCGTCATTAAAAAAAATAAAAACAGGAGTTTGATAGGTGAAAACTAGTATCGTGTTTTTAAATTTTGCATTTCCTTGGTTATTACGGAGTACTGTACTTTTTGTTTTTTATGTAATTGGTATTTGCATATCCTTTCTTTCCAGTTATAATACCTTTTGCCTATTTTTGTATGGTGGATTTTTTTCTGTTGATGAATAAAAGCTCCTTATATATGTTGATATTTTTATTATATTTATATTATAGTTATATTAACACTTGGACATCTTTTGCAAATACCCATTCCTAAATTTTAACTTTTACAAATTTTACTTGTAAAAACTATGAGCTTTTAAGAATGATTTTTAAAAAAATCTTTGAATTGTTACTTATATTTTCTAAAGTTAGTTTCTGTATTCCTCCGAATAGTTAAAACCTAGTAAAATTCTTTTATATACTTGGGTTTCTTTCCGTACTCTCTTTTCCAATAATAAGTCTTTTCTTATGCTTTGATTAATGATAATAGCTTCATAATGAAATTTATTACCTAGCTTATCAATTAACCCCTCCTCATTATTATTCAATAATTTTTTGGGTGTTTAGTCAATTCTTCTTCTCGAAGATAGTACTATAATCCTTTTTAAGAAATCACTTCTTCTCAAACTAATGTAGTTTGTTTTTTTTTTTTTTTAAGATTTTATTTATTTAGGGGCGTCTGGGTGGCCCAGTTGGTTAAGCGACTGCCTTCGGCTCAGGTCATGATCCTGGAGTCCCGGGATCGAGTCCCGCATCGGGCTCCCTGCTCAGCGGGGAGTCTGCTTCTCCCTCTGACCCTCCCCCCTCTCATGCTCTCTCTCAAATAAAAAGATTTTATTTATTTAATTGACAGAGAGAGACAGCGAGAGAGGGAACACAAGCAGGGGGAGTGGACGAGGGAGAAGCAGGCTTCTCATGGAGCAGGGAGCCCAGTGTGGGGCTCGGTCCCAGGACCCTGGGACCATGACCTGAGCCGAAGGCAGACACTTAAGGACTGAGCCACCCAGGCGCCCACAGCAGTGGTTTTTTACTAAAGGTGATTGTGCCACACAAAAGGACATTTAACAGTCTCTGGAGACATTTTGGTTGTTGCAACTACTGAGAGTGTTACTAGTATCAGTAGAGGCCATGGATTATGTTAAAAGTCCTGTGTTACATAGGACAATCCACCCTACGACGAAGAATTTTCTGGCTGATAGTATCTAAAGTGCTGAGTCAGCTTTAGTCTTTAAAAAAAATGCATGGTCAGTCATATCAGTGGATGCTGAAAAAGCATTTGATGAAATACAACATGCTGTGTGTGATGAAAACACTCAGGAAACTAGGAATAGAAAAGAACTTCTTTAAATTTGATAAAGGACATCTGCAAGAACTCTATAGCCAATATCACATTTAAAGGTGGAAGACTAAATGCTTCCCCCCAAGAATTAAGGTAAAAAGTCTAGGGTGTTTATTCTTAAGCCCTCTTATTCAACATAATAAAATAAATCTTAGTTGTAATAAGGCAAGAAAAAGAAAGAGAAAACTTACAGTTGGAAAGGAAGAAATAAATTGATTCCCATTTTAGATAATATTGTTTAGGTTGAAAATCGTATGTAATCTATTTTTTAAAAACTTAAACTACCAAGTGACTTTCTCAGGATAACAGGAAATATGATCAGCACCCAAAAATGAATCCTCTTTATCTATATAAGCAATGAATAGTTGGAAATAGAAAAATTTTTTAAAATTCCATTTATAATACGTCTGACAAAACATGTACAGGATTTGTAATGCTTACGATTAACAAGATGAAGAAACCACAAACCTAAGTAAATGGATAGACATGTTGTGTTCACATATTGGAACATCCAACATAGTAATGATGTCTGTTCTCTCCAAAGTGATCTATAGATTTAACACAGTACCTACCAAAAAGCAGGACTTTTTCCTATAAACGTAAACAGGCTGATTCTAATTTTACATGGAAGGGCAAAGGAACTAAGATACCTAAAAAACAGTTTAGAAAAAAAGAAAAACAATCATGTTACCTGACTTTACAAATTATAGAGCTATTGTGGCATGGTATTATGGAAGGGATAGACGTGTGAACCAATGGGATAGAATGGAGAATAAGAAACTCACAATACATGGCCATTTACTCTGAAATTAGCACTCTAAAAGATGTTCAAGACCATCGGTCATTAGTATGCACATTAAAACTACAATGAGTTAGCAATATATGCCTATTAGAATGGCTAAAAGAAAAAATACTAACAATATTAAGGGCAGACAAGGTTGTAGAGTAATAGAACCCTCCCTGTATTGCTGGTGGTAATGCAAAATTGTACAGTCTCGTGAAAATGAATGCAATTTCTTTTTTTTTTTTTTTTTAAGATTTTATTTATTTGAGGGAGAGTGTGAGAGAGAGCACATGCAGAGGGCAGAGGGAGAGAGAGAAAAGCCAAATCTCTGAGCTGAGCAGGGAGCTTGACATGGGGCTTGATCCCAGGACTCTTGAGATCATGACCTGAGCCAAAAGCAGACACTTAACTGAGCCACCCATCTGCCCCTGAATGCAATTTCTTATGTAAGTTAAAGATGTGCTTACCGTCTGACCTAGCAGTCCTACTTGAGTGTGTTTGCCTTAGAGCATTATGACAATTTTAAAAAATAAATTAAAAAACAGTACATTGTTAGTAGTAGTTCCTTTTAACATTTAAAGATGTCTTTTCCTGGGCGCCTGAGTGGCTCAGTTGGTTAAGCGACTGCCTTCTGCTCAGGTCATGATCCTGGAGTCCCTGGATCGAGTCCCGCATCAGGCTCCCTGCTCGGCAGGGAGTCTGCTTCTCCCTCTGATCCTCCCCCGCCATGTGCTTTCTCTCTCTCATTCTCTCTGAAATAAATAAATAAAATCTTAAAAAAAAAAGTCTTTTCCTACTGTAAATTATTTTTATGAAATAGGTTTCTGTAAATTATTTGGTTTAGAGTCTGCTTTCTGTGCTCTCTAGGTGCATTCTTTAATGTTTTAAAGTTTGTATTATGGTTAAAAATACATAACCATTATGGGGTGCCTGGGTGGTTCAGTCGGTTAAGCATCTGACTCTTAATTTGGGCCCAGGTCATGATCTCAGGTTCCTGGGATCGAGCCCCATGTTGGGCTCTTTGTTCAGTGGAAGTCTGTTTAAGATTCTCTCCCTCTCTTTCTGCCCCTCCCCTTGTTCTCTCTTTCTCAAATAAATAAATTTAGAAATACATAACCATTATAGAAAATTTAGAATATTAGAGGGGGGAAACCCTACATACATCTGTAATCCTACTGCCTATGCAACCACTTTGTGTTTCTATAAATTTTTTTCTATTTATGGTTTATTACAGAATTGCGGTGATTCTGTATATATTTTTATATATGGTTCATAATTCTGGCTCTATATAATTTTGATGATTGCTCTTTATACTTCTCCAATTTTAAGCAAAATATTTTTGTATATGATAGGCATCATTATAGGGTTCCAAATTCTTCATTAGAGTCACTGTAGACTTCTTTATATCTCACTTCTGGTGACTTTATCCCAGTAGGAAGCTTTTGAACCCAAACAGAGATATTTGCTTGGCCATTCAATTTTCCTTTTCTGAGTATGTTTCCTTCCTCCCATGTCAGGGAAACAGAATGAACTCTCTGTCGCTTTATGCTGCTGATAGTAATAGCTCTCCTTTATGTTTCCAGCTAGAAGGTAACTTTCTGATTTCTTTTTTTTAGAGGAAGAGTAAAAGACGCCCTTTTATTTTTTTTTTCATTTACTGAGCCAGATGTAACCTAATTTTGATATATTATTGCTTAGCTTTTATTTTAAAGATTTGATTATTTTAGAGATTGAGAGGGAGGGAGGGAGGAAGGAAGGGAGTGAGCGCATGAGCAGGAAGGGCAGAGGGAGAAGGAGAGAGAATCTCAAGCAGACTCTGTGCTGAGCACAGAGCTGGATGTGGGGCTGGATCTCATGACCCTGAGATCACTACCTGGGCTGAAACCAAGAGTCAGATGCGTAACTGACTGTGCCAGCCGGCGCCCCTATTATTGCTTAGCTTTTTTTTTTTTTTTTAAAGATTTTATTTATTTATTTGACAGAGAGAGCACAAACAGGGGAGCAGCAGGCAGAGAGAGAGGGAGAAGCAGGCTCCCCGCTGAGCAGGGAGCCCAACATGAGGCTCGATTGCAGGACCCCGGGACCATGACCTGAGCCGAAGGCAGACACTTAACTGACTGAACCACCCAGCCGCCCCTATTCCTTAACTTTAAAAAAATCTTAAATAGGCTCATTTCTGAGAGGTATATATGTTAGCATATTAAACTTTTTAAAAAAAATTTTTATTGTTATGTTAATCACCATACATTACATCATTAGTTCTTGATGTAGTGTTCCATGATTCATTGTTTGTGCATAACACCCAGTGCTCCCCGCAGAATGTGCCCTCTTTAATACCCATCACCGGGCTAACCCATCCCCCCACCCGCATATTAAACTTTTAAAAATAGTTTGAACATGATATTTTTTGAACACCAGAACTATATTGCACTCAGCTTTTTTTTTTTTTTTACATATACGGATCACCATACACTATTATTATAGAGTTGTTACTCTGAAAATGTGAAAGGTCCCTTAGCAAGAATATTTATTCTTGCTAGCAGAGGGAGAGAAGAATCTGTTTTAGAGATACCCCAAGGGTATTCCAAGTATTTTACATTCACAAACAATTTTCTGTGTCACTGTCATATTTCTGAGCTGTTGGGGAAAATAATTCCACTTGAAGAGAGTAACAGTGAGATGTAAGAATATGTTCTAGCCAAGGTATTAGAAGACAAAGTATGGATTAGCTCTTGTGGTAGGTAACAACATGAGACTGAATTAGGACAGGAAGCTACTTCTGACAGTAAGGTGGAGAGCAAGAGAGTGATGGTGCCATGGGAAGTGGAAGAGACAGATGAAATAACTCTCATTATCTCATTTAATTTCCACAAAACCTTTTGAACTAGATAATCTAATAATCTATGTCCTTTTTTCATAAGCAAGGGAATGGAGCCCCAGAACAATGAAGTTTCTTGCCAAAAGTTACATGTCAGTTACAGGTAGAATTGGGAATTTAGGGGCGCCTGGGTGGCTCAGTCGTTGAGCATCTGCCTTCGGCTCGGGTCATGTTCCCAGGGTCCTGGGATCGAGCCCCACATCGGGCTCCCTGCTCGGCGGGAGGCCTGCTTCTCCCTCTCCCACTCCCCCTGCTTGTGTTCCCTCTCTTGCTTATCTCTGTCTCTGTCAAATAAATAAATAAAAAATCTTTAAAAAAAAAAAAGAATTGGGAATTTAACTCTATTATTTCACTCCAAATCCTTTGATTTTTGTTTTCCTACATTGTACTAATATATTGATCTTATGGTTGCAGAAATACTATAATACAGTGTAGAACTTTAAAATGGCAAAGTCATTTGATATTCAACCAGTGAGTAGATTTTGTTAGAAAGCCTAAAATCGAGATTCAGAGCAAGATTATGCATTGAAAAATTACCTTTTATGTTGGCACTTGAAGGCCACAGAAAAACTGAAACCCAAAGAACCTATTTAACTATATTGAGAGGAGAATCTAAGTCAGCACAGTGCCTCATCTGTTATAATAGGAACTCAACAGATAGTTTTTAAAGTCTATATAAATTGAGAAACAGTCAATTTTTATATGGAAGTAACCACCAGAAACAAAAGTTGGTTGCATCTGGGCATTGAGATTAAGGGGTCGAGGAGAGCTGAGCCCGAGAAACTGCTCTTTTTCTTCAGCAGCCTGCCTGTACAGTTTTAATTTTTAGGTATGTACATGTATTATTGTAAAAAAAAATTTAAGATTTCACAAAACTCGGAGACAAAGATTTACTGAGATATACTTCATTGCAAAAGATGGTTAGGACATAGTAGTAGTATAGTATAGTAGAATTATCACCTACATATAAAAGATACTGCTAGTGAATGTATAGTGACTTAAAGAGCTGGACTAGTTCAGTGCTAAACAGATAGCTATCTTTTTTGTGATGTGTGTCTCTGACCTGTTAAAGCGCTTGGGCATAATGATGGTTGGTTTAATTGTATAGGACCCAGGATCTCAGTGATGAGCTTCTTTAACTGGAAAAGGTACTAGCTGTTTGATTGTCAAGAAGTATCTCTTGAAATAGGGCTCTCTTGTGGCAAATAAAAAGTTACTTTTTTCTTTTCCTTTTTGGGGCGTGTGGGAGAGGAAGTTGGGTGTTTTCCTCGGGACTTGGTTGTACTGCTTCAACTCTAACCTCAGAATAAGCTCCATGCTAACATCTAGGATTTTTTTCCCTTCATCAGATGATTATAGTATTTTTGGAGGAACTCAAAATGATAAGATTATAACACATGGATTTAAATAAATAATTTCAAAGAATCTTGAATAGTTAGGACTCTTCATTTCAATTAATGTACCCAAGAAAAAGTGTAACCCTTTATAAAGTATGTATAAAACCTTTGAGGGATGCCTGGGTGGCTCAGTTGGTTAAGCGTCTGCCTTCGGCTCAGATCATGATCTCAGGGTCCTGGGATTGAGCCCCACATTGGGCTCATTGCTCAGCGGGGAGTCTGCTCCCTCTCCTCTGCCTGCCCGCTCCCCCTGCTTGTGTCTGTCAAATAAATAAGTAAAATCTTTAAAAAAAAAAATAAAAGTTTTAAAATCTGACAACTCAGTTTTTATTTCACAAAGTTATTTCTGATGATGATTATTTAGGATTCTTATTGAAGATAATAGAATCTAAGATATGTTGAGTTATATTTTAGAGCTGCTAAGAGGTAACTTAAGGGAGTAGGATTTATTTGTTCATCATCATGTGTGTGGTCAGCGAGATCTAAAACTTTGAAATTCCTTAGTATCAAGTTGTCTTGTGTCTTAATGTCTCTACAAAATTATTATTAATAGCTGTGTACGATCGAATGAGAGCAGATCAGAAGAAATTTGGTAAAGCATCATGGGCAGCAGCTGCAGAACGTATGGAAAAACTCCAGTATGCAGTTTCTAAGGAGACTCTGCAGATGATGAGAGCAAAAGAGATCTGTTTGGAACAGAGGAAACATGCACTGAGAGAAGAGGTAACAAAAACCATCAAAAATATATATAAAATTTAAAAAGATGATTTGTGATTTGTTTTTTATCTTTGTACAAGACTGGCATTTTTCTGACACTGCAGGCTGTTGTTAATTTTGCATTGTCTCCGTGAGATAATAACAGTCATCATGGAGCCTGTCCTTGGAGTTGCCGGTAAGAGAGGAGGGAGAGATAGAGGGGGGGAGATAGAGGGGAGGGGGAGAGAGGGGAGGGAGAGAGAGAGGAGGGGGAGAGAGAGGGGAGGGAGACATACGAGGTGCTCTCGCAGCATCACAGGGTGGCTGTAGGCAGTAGTGCACTCTTATAAAGGAGGTTGACATTAGAATTTCCTTGTTGTCTTTAAAATTTTTGGAATGTAAGGTTCATAGCTTTGTTAAGAAAGTTTCAGTGCCCAGAGAAATAGAGAAAAATCTTAAGGCTGTAGAATTTTGTTAGAATTGATTATATTATACTCAAACCATTATCTTTGGAGCTTCCCTTTTTATTTCTACTGGAACACAAAACAGGAGAGATCCTCAGCAGAGGTCCTGTTTTCTTGACTGTGCATCATTAAAACCTCTTCATGAATACCCCTCCAGAAAAGAATGGTTTTAGAAATCCTTGAAGAGGTTGCTGATAAACTTACGTAAAATATATCTAAAATGATCTTTTAAAAATTAACCATGTTTCGAGTGTCTGGATAGCTCAGTCAGTTGAGCATCCAGCTCTTGGTTTTGGCTGGTGGTCTTGTGGTCATGGGATTGAGCACCACGTTGAGCTCAGTATGGAGTCTGCATGGGATTCTCCCTCTCCCTCCCCCCACTCGTGTGTGCGTGCTCTTTCTCATAAATAAAATCTTAAAAAAGGGGGGTGGTGCTTGGGTGGCTCAGTTGTTAAGTGTCTGCCTAGGGCTCAGGTCATGATTCCGAGGTCCTGGGATTGAGCCCCACATCGGGCTCCCTGCTCCGCGGGAGGCCTGCTTCTCCCCCTCCCACTCCCCCTGCTTGTGTTTCCTCTCTCACTGTGTCTCTCTCTATCAAATAAATAAAATCTTTTTTTAAAAAAAAATCTTAAAGAAAAACCTAACCACTTTTTTTTCATGGTCATCCTGTTCTTCAGTGGTTTTAGTATTCATACTCATACTGCCCAGTGCAACATGGAATATACCATTGATGCCCATGTCTTGGTGAAAATAGTGAAACCATTAGATGTATACTATTTTTCATTACCTCCCAGGCCATTATTTTTTAAATGCTATTAAACATTTTATGTTTCATTATTAGATTGGGCCAGAACAGATTGCTTTTCATGAAAGGGTACTCAGATATCTACATTGGTCTTTGCTGATAGTTTTCCTAAGTATTAGAAGCAGCAAATCTCCATGTTGTTCAAGGGTCTCAACTCTAGTTTTAAAAGTGAATGAAGATTAAAGCTGGTGTTAGGGATGAACCTAAGAGGGTGTTCTAGATTGTATATAGTAGGACTTTATGGTTTAGGCACAATTATTCAGTTTGTGCCTTTTGTACAAAAAGAGTTAAAAATATTTCAGAGATGAAAAATATTTGAATCATTATATAAATTTTGGATTGTTTCCCCTTGTTTTCATTTGAGATAATTAACTCTTTATTGTATCATTATTAAGGCATTTTTGAAAAGATAAAGTCACTTTTTTGGGGCTGATACAGTATGCACGAAATATTTCTTTTTTAAGATTTTATTTATTTGACAGAGAGAAAGGAGAGCACAAGCAGTGAGAGCGGCAGAAGGAGAGGGAGAAGCAGGCCCCCTGCCCAGCAGGGAGCCCCATGTGGGGCTCGATCCCAGGACCCTGGGATCATGACCCGAGCCGAAGGCAGTCGCTTAACCAACTGAGCCACCCAGGCACCCTGCATGAAATATTTCCAAAACCAAACTACTTCATTTCCTTTTACTGGATTTTCTTAAATCTTCTTTCTGTTAAAGCCTCAGTTCTTCAAGATACTCCAGGCTCAAAACTTTAACTCTTCCCTTTCATTTGTTGGCTTTTTCTGCCTTTTGGAATTCTCCACAATTCAAATGTCCCTCCTCAGTTACTGATTCAACAAACGTTTATTAAGTGGGTTGTTTTTTTGTGTTTTTTTTTTTTGCCAACAATTTTAATGGGTGATTGAGATAAAGAAAGACATGATTAATACCCCTTGTCTCCCTATCTCCCCCCAACACTTTTTAAAGCCTAAATAAGATGCAGCCACAGTGTTTAGAGTTCTTTGTGGTGGGGCAAGACATGTACAGTGTGAAAATAAGCTGTGAGATAAGCAGGTATCATTATATACAAGGTGGACCATTGCAGTACTCAGCTTTGAACCGAGGGTCCTAGGTGAAGAGAATTACATGTTCCAGGAGCCCTAGGGGCAAGGAGGAAGAGTCAACCTAGTTTTCTGGACCAAGAGTCATGAGAGATGAGGTTGAAAAAGTAAGCAAAATTTGGGGCTGGCCTTCTACATCCTACCAAGGAGTTTGAATTTTGTCCTAAAAGCAGTATGGAGCCGCTCTAAGGTTTTCATCAAGGTGTAACACAATCAAATTTATTTTTATGAAATAATGACTCTGACCAGTTCATAGAGAATTGACTGGAAAGTCATTCTTCAATCTTGAGCCATTTTCCTCATATGCTTTTCTGTTTGTTGATAGTGGAAAGCAAGGCATTTCTCAAAAATGAGTGTAAATACCAGGAATGTAGATCCTTCACTCAATAACAGAAGAGGTTTAAGTTGAAGGCAATAGGGAATTGGGAAAAGTTAAATCTACGTTATGTTTTGGAAATCTGAAATTGCTCCTTTAAAAGCTACTCAGGTTGGCACAGCATTCTTGGGTAGTTAAGAACTGAGTAAAGGCAGGTTGGTGATGGTCAGATCCAGACTGCACACGCCCAGGCTCCTGAGTATACTTGGGCTGTGCCTTTGTTCAAATAGTACTGAAGTCATCTTGTAACGGCTGGTTAAAGGAGGCAAGAAGTGTGGGGTTTTATTGGGCAGAGGAGAATGAACTGGGTGAGGCAACTGAATTTGTGTTAGTTATTTTTAAAAAAGCAATTATACCTCAGAAGGATTAGAATAAAATTATTTGTTTGATTAGATTTGTTGTACAGTTCCCCTTTATGCACACTTTTGCTTTCTACAGTCAACCATCGTCCTGAAGCAAATGATCCTCCTCCTGATACATTGCCAGAAGCTCAGTAGTAGCTAATGCTGCATCACAGTGCCTACGTCATTCACCTCACAGGTGAATGGGTGAAGAGTGAGCACAGTACAAGAAGATAATTTGAGAGAGAGACCACATTCCACATAACTTTTATTACGATATATCGTTATATATTATAATTGTTTTATTGTTGTTCTTAATCTCTTACTGTGCCTAATTTGTCAAATATCTTTCATCATAGGTATGCATGTATATATAGGTTGCAGTACTATCTGTGATTTCAGGCATCCACTGGGGGTCTTGGAATGTATCCGATGTTGTACTTTGTAGTCCACAGTGGTTTGTTAAAACCACATTAAGACATAATTTGTGTACACCTGAAACTAATGTAACATTGCCAACTATATTTCCACTAAAAAAAATTCACTATACAATTAGAAAATTTCACTAAACTATACTTCAATTAAAATACCATACCGTTCACTCATTTAAAGTATATAGATTCAGTGCTGTTTAGTATACTAACAGAATTATGCACATCACCACAATCAACTTTAGAACATTTTCTTCACCCTGGAAATAAACCTGACCCCATTAGCAGTGATTCCCCATCTCCTCTCTAAACTTTCCTAGCTGACCATTAATCTTTCTATAAATTTGCTATCCTGGATATTTCATATAAATGGAATCATAAAACGTGGGTTTTTTTTTTAAAACATACTTAACATAATGTTTTCACAGTTCATGTTGTAACATGCATGAGTGTTTAAGTTAATTTTTTTATAGAATGATACTGTATTCTATGATTAATACCACATTTTGTGCATTCATCAGTTGATGAACATTTGGGCTCTTTCTGCTTTGGGAGTATTAAGCACAATGCTGCTGTAAACTTTCATGCTCAGGATTTTCATTTATCTTGGTATATACATAGGAGTCAAACTGCTGTTAACTTTTTGAGGAACTGCCAGACTGTTTTCCTGAGCAGCTGTACATTGACATTTACATTCCCACCAGCTGTGTACAACAGTTAGAATTTCTCCACATCTTTCATCTCATCATTAATACTTAAAATTTGTCTCTTTTACATTACAGCATGCTGGGGAGTATAAAGTGGTTATCTGATTTGCATTTTCGTCACGGTATTGAGTATCTTTCTGTATGCTTATTGGCCACTTATACTAGATACAGCTCTTATATGGGATACATGATTTGAAAATATTTGGTTCCATTCTATGGATTGACCATATTGGTTTTTAGAACACTGGCTATATCTGAGAGTACTGTATTTTAGTTTCTAGGGGAAAACAAATTGCCTCCACTTTTTTACTGTATGAAGTTTTTCTTGCCTTAGAAGGTAGACTTGGATAGTCCTTACTGACATTTTAAAAGTGCATATGCTTATCAACTCTTGCTTAAAAAATAGTATGAGATAACATAGTTATGGCTTTGATCTAGAAAGAAGTCTTCTGTTAATAATTTTAAATTGTGATTTTTACCCTTAGGTTTTATTTGCTACTAGTGTTGGTAAAATTGTAACTTGTCTTGTCCTAGAACTTTTTCACACTATATTCAGCATCTCTTTGCAAGGATTTCATTCCCACTTGTGTTTCCCTGTAGCATTTCTACTGCAGTCTCCTTTTCCTGATTAGCTTTCTCCTTTATGTGACTAGCTGTGTGATATTTAAGTTCCAGAACTTTTAAAACTTAAAATCATAGCATTTTTGTTAGGTTTTTGTTTTTAAATCCTAGCATTTTTTTGCCTGTGAAGTAGAGAGCCGTTCTTTGTCTTCCTCACATGTACTAGCTTTGTTGTTCTAGCCAG